TATATATATATACTATATATATATATAAATTCTATATATATATAAGCAAAAATTTTCATTAAATACATGTTTGGTTAGATAATTTAGATCAGTATATAATTAATATTCTGTTATTTTTTTAAATCTTTTTCAAAAACAAAAAGGTTTACAGTTAAGCCTTTTCATTTCCCTTTTTCTTGTATTTTAACAAGAGCTTTCTTTTCTGGACAAATTATGTGTGTTCTTGTTAGAACACATTTCAAAAAAATAAATAAAAAGCTTATTATTACATCAGGTCTGTCGTTTTAATTAAAACATGCATAAATGAAGGATTGCCGTCTAAATATACAAATATATATATATATATATATATATATATATATATATATATATATATATATATATATGACTATTAGAGAGAGGAGAGAGGACATTTCATTATTTACAAATATTAATTTCATGGCAAACAATGTAAAATACATTTATAATAGAATAAAAAAATATCTATCAAACAATACAAAAATTATAGAAAAAAAAATGCATTTGACTATCAATAATTACTAAGTGATATACATGCGCATGAAGATATGTGCATATTATCAAAATAAGCTAAACTTATTTTTCATCATAATATATATATATATATATATATATATATATGCATTTTATTTTTAAGTCTGACAATTATTTTAATATATTTTTTTTTATACGTTATTTTTATAGATGCTAATTTTAAGTAAATGCTCTGTTTATAATAAATAGGCCGGTAAAAAAAAATAATCATGTTTAAATTAATAGAGCATTTGTTTAAAATGCTTGTGAGCTACAAAAAAATGCATAAACAGAAATATATTAAAATAATTATCAGACTTAGTCCATTTGATAATAGATTATGTCATTTGTTTACGTTAATGATATATGAACGTTCAAGAAAATCATGGAAATTTGTAGCTGAAAAACAGTAATTTAACCAGATGCTTACTTTGTAGCTAAATAGTATAGCTCGTTATATGCCGGTTTCGTGTAGGATACGGATCTCATTACTGTCCCTGCATATATTTTCTTTGAGATTTTCAGACATTCAGGCCGGGTAATGTTAATAGTATTCATTATAAACAAAACATTTACTTAAATATTTGTATCTATAAAATAACGTGCAAAGACAAATTCATATATATATATATATAAATATATATATATATATATATGTCAAAATATATTCAAACTTTTTCATTCTTTAATTAGTATGTTTGGTTAAATAATTTAATTTTTAATCCTTTCAATTTCACGAAAAAATTTCTTGGTAGCTGTAAAAATTGTTTAAAAAAAATTCGGAAATTTTCTTTCATATAATCTTTATTTTATCATGTATTTTCAACCTCATCTGAGAAAATCTTTAGGATTTTAAAATTGACGAGACATTACATTTCATTTATTCAATCTCCGAACATTTAAAGGAACACTCATGTCTCTAATTTACAGTTTACACAGATATTGTATTTAAATACATTAATATTTCATGAAAATAAATTATATATATATATATATATATATATATTATATATATATAATTTTACTTCTATAAAATTTGTATTTTATGTAACCCTCTACTTTGAAAATGGTCCCCGGCCTTGTAACGAGACCACCATATCAGGTAAGGTTACAAAAGAAAAATCAGTTTATACAAATGGAGGGTCGATAACTGTGTGTCATCATTTCCTTCTTCAAAATTTGTATTATACTAATTTGCAAAATAATAATAATAATAATAATATATTAATAATAATAAAATAAAAAGGGAATATATATATTTTTCATTTTAAGATTAAAGTTAGCTTTAATTGTAGTTCTACTTATTCTAATCAGTAGGTGTCGAATATTTAATGATTTTTAGGCAGATATACGCTTACAATTATATAAAAAAAGATTTGTAATAAAAAATGAAAAAAATTTATGATCAATTGAAGAAAACATGTTAACGTTGAAATAAGGATACATCAAGTTTGGATGTGCTCGTATGTTTTATTGAATATCGAAATCAAAATTGGGTTCAAAAATCCAATTCAAATTCGGTCGAAGTCTTTAACAGAGGACCAAATAGCTGTAGGAAATCCAAAACTGTCTCTTCTCTTCTAAAATGTGCATTAAATATCAAACAGGGCTAAGCCTTAGAAAGTTTAAAAATATAAGATAGGAAACAACAAAAGAAGACTGAACTCTGACCATCTTTACCTAAGTCCTCCCTATGGCACTGATATGTTTTTTTTTTTTTTAAGCATTTCACCCCAAGCAAGGCGGGAAGCCACTAGGACGCAAGGGGTTACAGAAGATTTGGGGCAAGATCAAATAGGAGTGATAGAGAGAAAGGATGAGGAGAAGGATAGTGGATAGATCAAGGCAACTGGAGATGTTGATTGACATTACATTTGAATAGTTGGAGACTATAGCTCTCAGGGAAACTGGAATAGGGAAGGGAGTTTCACAGGCGAGTAAGTCTATGTGAATGGATAGCAGAGGGATAGACAAGGAGGAATGATAAAAAGTCAAACATTGCTTAGAGATACAAGGACTAGACAATGTGGAGAGCCATGACTGCCCACATTATGAAGAGATACAACATATAAATGATAATGATAATAATGATGATTTGCACAGTATATTCTTTATTCTCTACCATATGTCACGATAGCTATACCAATGACAAGGCGATAATCAAGATGATTAATAGATGATTATATAAGATACAGAGAAGAGTGTTTCTGTCTGAATTTCTTGAATGAGGCAGTACAATGATTTATATTTGAACTAATATCCTCATCTTTGTTGTTATTATATCAAGATTTAGCCACTGTATTCTCTAGCCTTTTTCAGGTGCCTATTGTTCCAGTTAACCTGTAGGGCATTTCAAAGTAAACCTTTTATTTAATCTATAGGAGTAGATTGTTCTTATACTGCTATTCATGCCTAGGGGTATCTTGTAGTATTCTTTTTAGTACTGCACAGTTATTACAAGTCCCAAGTCCGAGCCTATACTAGCTGTCCAGGAACTGAACTCACAATTACCCTGGTACCAAAATTTATGGTCAAACATTTTAACCCTTAGGAATAATCCTGAAGCTAGAACTTGAAACCTTTGTAATAGCAGCTTTACTGTTAACAAGAAAGAAAAGTAGAAGTGACAAAACAATTAATGTTTATAGTAAGTGAAAGAGTTTTTAGTTCCTGTAATCTACAAGGTTTAATCATTTACTTGTTCCAAGATATTTATTATATATCAGTCATGGTAGGCTGAGAATTTTTTTAGGGTCTAACACAAGATAATAGTTGAGATAACATGTGGTAAAAATCAACATGCATATGTAGTCGAGTGAGATAGACTTGTCAGAGAGATATTCCATGAATTATCACATTGTTGTAGTCGAGAGTTAGTTTTTTCTGCTTCTGGTTTAGTTGCTGACTGAAAGCATGACTATTAATTAAACTGCCTTGGTGTCACTGCTTATGACATTGGCAATCATGTAGTCTGCTGTATTCACTTAAGCTTGCCTGCTGTGGGTTATCAGTTAACAGTTTGTTTTACAGATTATCAACCTGAATGGGTTATTTAATGCCAACAATTTTTATTGCTTGTAATTTTTTTTTTTCAAAATGTATTTCTGGTAATATTTTTTCTTCAAAAATCTATTTCTGGGAATATTTTTCCTTCAAAAAATTATTGCTGGTAATTTTTTTTACAGAGTATTTTTGGTATTAAAACCTATTTTTGCACTTTCATAGTGTTTTGACCCAAGTTTGGGGGTTAACTATTTACCCATAGCTTGGACCCTAACAGGTGCTACCACCCCGAGTCAGGGTGAACCTGGGAACACCAGCAATTAAGAGGTGGTTCCACGCTCCTCAAAACCTCCTGATCAGAAGCCTTGTTGTCAGACATAGTTTATCATCTTACTGAGGCTACGGATGTAGTTTATCATCATACCCAGGATTGTGCCTGCCGCGGGAGATCATCACTAATGCCAGCTGGGTCAGATCTACGTTGATGGGTGAAATCAGCATTGACTTTATAGTGAGTGAGTAGCTCAGAGACAGTTGCTGCAAAAACTGTGTTGGCCTTTTTCTGATTGGTTATAAAATCAGAGACAGTTGCTGCAAAAACTGTGTTGGCCTTTTTCTGATTGGTTATAAAAGATGTTTTATGACAGTGGTATTTTGGGGCAGTATTCCAGAAGTGGGTGCATAGAACCAGACAAATTTAAGGTCTGTTTTTGTTATAGGAACTGTGAATGTCAAAGTTGGCATTTCTGTTTAAGTTAAAGAATTGGAGTTCCAACAGGATAAAAAATCATGTTATTATTACCTCCACTGCTACAACTGCTGCTGCTGTAACCTCAATGTCAACCTTGACACACACACCCTCTGCCACTGCTTCTCTCTCTTGAGTCCTTGAAAATGTTCAATAAAGGATTCAGTTCAAAATTGAAAGTTGCCTAGATTGACACCTGAAGACAGTCAGAGGGTACAATGTCCAAAATGTTGTGATAATAACAACGAAGAGGAGGATATTAGTCTAACTGTAAATAAGATAAATAAAAAAGAGTGTGTCCTTGATTTTTTTTTTTTTTTAGAGTAATAGCACAAACATTGTTCTAGCAAGAATTTTAACCTGATTCACTGACTCCATTTTCCAAGATTTTATCCATCAGACTTTCATCAAGTACAACTTGTCTGACTTGTTTTGCGGAGTTTATGTAGATTTTAAAATACAAAGGAGGCTGCTTTTTGGTGATCACATTGGGTCAGGGTCTATTAGATAATAACAACAAGCTGATAACATCAAGCAAAGGAGATAAAAAGTAGAACTATTTACATTCATTGCTGTAAAATTATTGTTATAAACAACTTCACATAATAAAAAATATTAAGTACTTGGATTAAACTGTCTGGGACTGAATGGTTTTGATAACATTATCTGTCATTATAATAAATAGCTTTCTCTATATAAAGCTTTACAGACACATTACATTGAAACACCAGTTCTCGTATGATTACCAAAGTTAAGCAATGTCAAGCCTGATCAGTACTTAGATGGATGACTGCTCGGGAATACCAAGGGCTGTAAGTTTGGATGTGTGGGTGGTGCAATGGATAATGGCTCAGAATTATGAATTGGACAACTGAGTTCCAATTCCCGTAGTGTCTGTTATATTCACTTACGTGCAAATACACTTCTTCCCCTTGTTATGGGTTAATTAGTAAGACTTGTATTACTAAACCATTATTATCTCAAAAAAAAATCTTCTCATCAAAAAATATTTCCTGGCTTTAAATAACCTGGCAAAGGGTTGATAAGTCGTAGAAAACGAATCAATCAATCATTTCTCTCAATAAGCAAAATGGGATATTGATTATTGGAAAGAAAAAGGTTCAAATTGTAGAGCTAATTTGGATCATTTTTTATGCTATTGTTTGCTCAATACAACCTCAAGAGCCACTCAAGGTAGAGGGTTACTGAATGAGGTTGTTGTAAGGAGAGGGAGTAAAATGTGCATATTATGAGAATAGACAACAGTTGACCCTAGACTTGAAGAGGTTAAGATTGTAGTGACTGAGAAAGTATCTTCTCATGAGTCTGTTGCACAAAGTCACAAATCTGGTAAAGAAGTTGTGATGGAACTTCCTCCTTTCTAATGGAATATGAAAGGATTGAGGATGAGTTGATACTGTGTATGTGAAATGGTGAGTCATAGCTGTAAAGTTCTGAACTGATGTAACTAAGAAATGTAGTTTGAACATTTACCATGGAAATATCAATAGAGTAGCAATAGACTGGTATTGTTTCATCTTTGGGAAAGGGGTTGCAGTGTGAATAATAATTCATCACCCACAAGGTCGTGTAATAACTTTTGAACTCTGTCAAGACTGGAAAGTGAAGACAGAGCAGCTCCAGCCAATATATGTTATCAATACTTTGTTTTTGGTCTGATCTGACTCTTTTACAGATAAAGCACAGCAGGAAGAGTCAATTACTTTCTAAAGTGGTACAATGAATTGACCATTTTTCCAGCAAACATTAGCAATGGTAAAAAGTCTTTATATTTTTATAAGGTCAGGTTGCTGGCCCTATACTCAAGATAGGCTATCTGACATAGATAAAAGGTTGAAATAGCTACAGTTTACTCATAGCTGGAGATAAGAAAAGAATTCATGTCTTTGCTCAAGGCATTAGCATGAAATAAATACAAGCTCTACTAGCTGGGAATTGAACTTCTTTCACTGACTTTCATTCTCCAAGCAAATAAGCTACCTATACATCCATTCGATTATAAACAAAGAGAATTAATAATTTTATATAAGTAATTTTAAGTATTTACATTTAAAGTGATTTGCATCAAATAAATTTCCGAGTTGCTTGGTTTAACAAATTATGTTTTTACAAAACTGATTTTTATTATCAGAAAAATAAATTTATTATTATTATTATTATTTCCATTGATTTCTGTTGTATACTCATTTCCTCTGGGTTCCAACCAGAGACTTAAACTCAGAAATGGGATCATGACATTTTCCACTGGGCATTTTTGTAAAAAAAAATTAAACAAAAAAATCCAAGATCACACGCATTTTACATAGATAAAGCTCTTTGTAATGTTTGAACTGTACTTGTGAGTACAATTTTTTGCATTTCTTTAAGGCGTAAGCTACTAGGGAATCTATCAGAACCTTTCCCACTCAAACCAAGGGCTCTAACTAAAACTGGAATTATTGATGTCTTCACATTTTTGAGATCATCATCATCATCATCATCATCATCATCGTTATTATTATTATTATTGTTATTCCTCCAATCACCAAGTGCTGTACAACTGAGCACCTGACCAGCTTCTTCTATATGTCTCAGTTGCATGTCAAATGTTTGATGTTTGTGTCTCTATGAAGAACCTTTGAGTTCACTAATGACATAGCTCATTTTTTTCCTTTGTCTGCCTTTTTCTTTTACCTGACGTGTTATTTCTTAGGATCGCAGTTGAAAGATTGTTGGTCCCTCTGATGTAGCTATACCATTTAATTTTTGACAGTAGTGATGAGGTCTTCTAACAGACTTATTTGTTGTCTGATAGTGACACACAATGTGTCATTTGTGATGCAGAATATGAAAAAGAGGCTCTTTGAGTAAACCCTTTCCTTTTAACAGGGCCTGTGAAGGAGTCTTATGCCCCAATCTATAATATGCCACCCACCAATCTATGACATGGGGGCCCCAAATCTACTACATCCCAATTTTCATTAGGTAGTATTCATATAATATACAAATTTTATTGTAACTTAATTATGTATAATAATGTATCATCTTCAATATGAGTAAACAATTCAACTAGAAAAACTTTAAATAAGTACAGTATATCTAAATACAAATTTGAAACATGTCATAATAGATCATTCCATCTTAAATAAATCAACAATGTTTTGCAGCAATTTTTAACATCAGCTTGAGATTTTTCTTGTTAAAATGTTGAATAATTTTAACACATTCAACATTATGGTTTAAAAATAGTTAATTTTATATCGTGTTTTTTTTAGACATAGCACAAACAATACAAATTCACAGATTTGAACAAAAAAATACCCAAGAATAATGTCAAAATCCATGAAAATTTTTCATCCTTTGATAGTCACTTGTGCTTAGTTTAATTTGAAACATACATATGCAGGTAGAAAAAAAGCAAATGTTGATAAGATAGTCACAAAGCACTATCCAGGCGTCCCTGACTAGACCCCACTAACGATCAGAGGAGGGAGAATGTGTCAGCCCTGCCTTATTAAACACTTAAAAACTGATAAATTATGTAATTATTTTACTAGGAACCTCTTGATATGTCAAATATGTTGCATTTTGTATTTGATTTTAAGAGTTAAAGTTGACCATTTAAATACTTATTATTAATAAATGAATGTAGATTCACATTACCTGAGTATAATTTTGGGAAACAGCCTTTCTCCACTGTTTCATAAAACCGCTTTGTCAAAACACATTCTATCAATTATCTATCTATCTATCTATCTATCTATCTATCTAATTATCTCTCTCTATATATATATATATATAGAGAGAGAGATTCCTGAGAGAAGATAGATTGATAGATAGATAGATAGATAGATAGAAAATTTCTTAGAGTATATCTTCAAAGATAGAATAGATAAAGATTTATATTAAAAATTTCCAAAAGTTTTTTAAATATTATCTGTAAAAATAATTCAATATGAAGAAGAATTCAAAAGGTCCCTATTTGGTATCTTATATATATATATATATATATATATATATATTTATATAAAAATTTTTTATTTGTTATTTATTCACAAACCTATAATTTTATCAAATAAATGTTGATAAAGTCCTCTCAATCTATGAATAGGAGAAATAGGATATAGGAAATTTTTTTTTTTTAAATAAGGATTTATAGAAATGTTTATAAATTTAACATGATTCACTTTCATTTAAGCTTAATCAGAAATGAAATATGGAGGAGAAAAGAAAATGTTGGTATTTTCTATCTTTGTGTTGTTTGTATTTTATTGATTAAGTAGAGCTCATATTTATTTGTCTTGTCTGGTAGTATTCATATGTATAATTCTTGTATCTTAAGGTATCATAATTCTAGTTGGTTTATGCCAAATTTGGTTGATATATATGTTTGCATGTATATATATATATTTTTTTTTATAAAAAATATATATATATGTATATATATATATTTTATAAAGGATATATATATATATATATATATATATATATATTTTTATAAATAATATACACATATATATATATATATATATATATATATTTATAAAGGAAGATATATATATATATATATATATATATATATTTTATATAGGATATATATATATATATATATATATATATATATATATATATATGTATATTCTTTATAAAATGTCTCATACTAAAAATTTTTTAGAATTGGAAACGCAAAGACCTATTTCCTGTGCCTCTCCCTAAAAAAAACTGATTCAGCTGTCATAAAAAACACAAAGATGTGCCACATACACCTACCTGAGGCACTTTATTCCTATATACGAACAGATGCACACATACATACCACACACTGTAAACATACACAAAACATTTATGTAAGTAGAGCCAAACAGACTTCTAAATTAACACAATCTATTTTCATGCATAAATCATCTTGTAAAGAAATTAAAGTATTTTCATATTTTAAAATTTTATGTTTCCCTTTAAGTAATGTATTTTAGGCATTCATATAACTTTTTAAGAAATCTATCCCATAATCATCAAAACATTATGCATGGTAGAATTACTCTCCTCACTCTTTGCTATGACCGAGAACGTTACATGAGGCTTTATTCTGTCTTTTCTATAAATATTTTCATGGCAATTGTTCTGGTGAGCATTCCTACTTAGTACCTCGACTACATGAATTTAAGTGTACAACTAGATTGGCAACTAGGTCTCACCATTTTACTGTTGAATTCGCAACATGCAATGCTCTGTTCTATTCTAATAGTTTCTTTTCTCATACTTTTCATCTATGAAACTCCCTTCCAATTTTTTGCTTCTCTGCCACCTACAATCTCCAAAAATTTAAATGCAACATCAATTGTCATTTTTTGTCTTCCTGATTTGTGCTCCTTTATTGTCCTTTTTCTCACTTGTCCTTACTAATGTCTTCTCACTCCTTGTAATCCCCTGCCCCTAGTGGCATTATAACCTTGTTTGGGGGTGAAATTTTTTAAAAACAATAAAAAAAAAGAATATTTGTCTTCTTCACTTTAAAATCATTACTGCCATTTTCAAAATAAATCATAAAACTTCATTGTGTGTTTGCGTGCATGCGTGTGTGTATTTTGTTTGTTTGGTTGATTTTGTTTTTTTAACATTACCTCTTAAAATTGGATTGTTTTTTAATGCCATGTCAACTCCTTATGGGTCATTTAATGTCAAAATTTAATTCTCTTGGGAGCTTTGGTAAGTTTTTTTTTAATATTAAAATCTATTACCTATTTTTTTTTTTATTATTAAAATTTATCATTGAAAATTTGTTTTTTACTATTAAAATCTATTACTGGTATTTTTGC